TATTCATTATTAATCACAGAATTTGCATTTCGCCATAAATATGAACACACATGGCCTTTTATCTAGTAAAAAGGCTTTTAAGAGAGAAACATCAACATGCAAGAACAGTGATTTAGGTCACAGAATTGTATCTATAAGTGTCGGTAGAAAGCAAACGCAAGCAGGTTGATGAGCAGTCGAATGCAGCATTGATTGATTTCAGGCGAATCAAACGCACCTTCAACTGCATTTGCAGTATTGTTACGAAAGATACTGTATTACGGTACCTCCCCCAATTCGACTAACGCTTAATCTGTTTACTACGATGATCTTTAAAAATGTAAAAGAAAAAAACATTACATCATCTTGTGAAGTGGTTTTGAAATACCACTTTTGCAGTGTTCTGAGCAAAATGATCTGATATTATTCTTCGAAGTCTGTTTAAATAATTAAACAATAACGTGTATTTAAGTGGAAGTTTATTTGACCAGTAAATACCCATTATTGATCCAGATAAAATGTATTCCTCACTCTACTTGAGTAAATATATTCAAGCGTGGTTGAGAAATTGACAAATTGATTTCAAGTGTTAATAAGCTTCTGTTGTGTTATATATATTTACAGTTTCACCAGACCCACGTTTACGATTCCCTTGTGATTGAGAGTGTAAATGATCTACCAAACTTTATATTTCATTCCTCGTTTGACTTAACTAGACGTCGTCAGGATAAAAAAAAAATCCTCTATTTTACAAGAACTTGTCTAAATAAACCACCTTTTCCAAACGCTGCTACGATGTAATACGACAGGGAACACTTGCTGTATTTAAGGCGCTGTTTGTGAAGTACTCCTGAATTGCACATTAACTCATCTCTTACTACATATGTAGCACGTGCAGTGGCATCGACAGGCCTGCCCTCCAGAACCCTGTAGAGGGCTTGGTAAGAAATACAAAAATCTATTGGAGATTTGTAAAACGTAACCATCCGTACCACCTGCTGTATCATACGAGACAAAACTGTTTTCAGCTTGGACAAGGTATGTGCATCGACTTCTTCTTGATTAGATAGTGTAAAAACAAATAGATTTCTCAGTCCAAATCAACGCCACCAGATTTGCTTGTGGTACTGTATATTGAAGGGTAACACATACCCCATGCCGGGACAGGTACAAGATAAAACTCTATTTCTAGAGATTTTTCAATTAATCAATACTTTAGTGTAGATAATCCCAAATATATATACATACAACCGTACATAGGAACATAGCCTGTGTATACAGTAGTGTATATCGGTGGGGATTACCGCCTGATAATCTCTCCCGCAGATTACTTGGCAGTTGTGACGTCACTAGTACTAGTCGTGTGTACACTTAAGGCACGTACACACCACCCTTCGTTAGCTTTAATCAAGTAGGTATTCAGTTTATATAAAGATAATCTGTTCGGATCATATTATTCAATGTGTATTTAAGCGAAGAACCAACGTTGCCATATTTACTTGTAATAAAAAGTTCAGCTATATTTAATTACTATACATTTAAAATGTACATGTTTTAAAACAAGACTATCCGCGTGTTTATTTTTCAAACATTAACACTTGTGTGACTATTTATTTGAGTACGATTTGGTCCGAAACCTACGAAAAACATACGTTTGTTTTTCAAACATGAACACTTTCGGGTGAGCTACATGTATTTGGTCCAATAAATAAGAACGTTAAAAACACGTTATTAAACAAAACAAAAACGTTATAACGCAAACAAACGCGTATTCACGCAAACAAGCGCGTATTAACGCAAACAAACGCGTATTCACGCAAACAAACGCGTATTTACGCAAACAAGCGCGTATTCACGCAAAAAACATACTTCATGGGATGCGTCCGTGTTTATGTTTATCAAACTTGTGTAAGTACTTTAGTAAGTATAAGCTACAGCCCCTGACTTATACCCATCGGTAATTCATAATCTACAATGTCACATTTATGATGTCATATCGAAAATGTCATTTCAACAAACCGGTCATTTCCTGTTGCATGTTACGCCTTTTTAAATGTTCAAACCCTTATAAAGGCAAACAGCCACGTCCATAATGTATGAGGGTTTCATGTTAAATATTAACGTATTCTAATTATTCGAAGTTATCAGTGATAAAAATTGGGTATTGAAGTGCTTGTCCTCAGTGCAAACAATATTCTGGAACAGCCTAACTTCCTCCAAATGTTTGCTTTTTACGATGCTCTCGTGTTATTTGAGGCAGGAGAAGCGTCAAAATGATACTGATGCTGTTGCGTTTATAGCCCTATAAACGCAACTAGTTCTGCTAGTGTTTATTTAGAGACTTGCTGCTTTACCAGTAAAGTGGAATGCGGAAATCGCAATCTCTATTGTTTTTCTGAGAGTCAGAATTGTTGAAAGATATTTCCCTGCAGATATTTATTTTTTAACGTTAGCGTCATGTTTTTGTCGCTGGTATCAGTAAAATATGACTACACGAAAACACGCAGATAAAAACATAGAACCTAGCTTCAACACATTCTAAAATACTTCAAAAATCTAATCACAATTGTTTGTAACGCGAACCAGGACTACGCCATTGCTGTGCTAGGGTAAAAAAAAAAAAAAAAAAGAAGTCCCCATGCATTGTAAGTTAACATCGGCGTATAGAATTAATACAGAGGAAAACAAATGTACATAAGTTGCGTATAGTAAATCGAATCTCGAACTTGTATATAAATAATCCAATCCCGTAATCGAATATAATACAATCCCGTAATCGAATAAAACTCATTAACTATGTGACAGTGTCGTTCCATTAGATGTCAATTTTATCATGTTTACGTTTCGCAACGGTGATTAGTGAACAACTGTCAATTACTATTCTAATTTTTTACCTTTAATATGATTATACAAGTATTTGTGAAAAGTTCTGTAAAAACATAATGCTAAATATGGTTCGAACAGTGAAATATTTCCGAAATGCAGCGTGAACCCGACATTATATCAAACTTATATTTCTCAAGTATTGACTTATGATGAGGTGAATATGTGGTGATATGAACCTGAAGTCTCGGTTAATAACACTTTCTCGGGTTTACATGACGACATCTTCACCGAAATAAGAACCTTAATTAGATGGCAAACAATGTTTAAATGATTAAAAATATAGAATATATGAAAAATAGGAAAATACTGCATTTGGAAGAAAGCTAGCCCGAGTTTCCTTTAGCCCTGACACCAGACTTAAACATTTTGACAGTTAGATGTCTGGTGTGGGGCCAGAACGCAATGCTATATGAAAACGTGGAATTCTCCGACACCAACAGTTTTGAGGTGCTGACAACAAAAATCGGCTATGACACAACACATACCTCACATATATCGATAAATGCATTATTTATTGATTCAAATACCCCTATTATTATCACCAACAGCTGCTAAATTCCGTCAGTAGAGTTCTCGGTTTAAAATCGTTCAAAATTTCCCACCTGAGCGTACGCCGTTTTTGTATGTCAGGGTAGTGACTAATCAACAAGCCGTACTGATCCGGACCGAGAACGGAATATATCATTCTTGTTTAGAAAATTTCAGGACCGCCTCTTTTTGTTATTTAGTCGCTACCCTGACATACAAAAATGGCGTCCGCTCAAGTGGGAAATTTTGGACAGTTACAACCGAGGACTCTACTGACAAAATTTAGCAGCTGTTGGTGATGATAATAGGGGATTTGGATCAATACATAATGCATTTATCGATATATGTCAGATAGGTGTTGTGTCATAGTCGATTTTTGTGGTCAGCACCTCAAAACTATCCGACACAAAACGGTGTCGAAGAATTCCACGTTTTCATATAGCAGTGTGCTCTGGCCCCACATTAGACATGTATATGTCAAACTGTGTAAGTCTGGTGTCAGGGCCAGAGGAAATTCTGGCTAGCAGAAATCATGGTGACGTTACAGTTGAAAAGACGTCATAAAGAGATGATTAACCTGCTGTTTCTAAAACAAAATAGTAGGACCGAGTTAATATCATACAATTATGGACTTCGTGTGAGGTCTATCCCTGATTTACGAACCTGGTCTGAACAATATTCACAGAGGTCGAAGGCCGAGGAGAATATTGTTCAGACCAGGTCCGTAATTGGGCCTCTGTGAATATTGTTCAGGACCAGGTCCATAAATCAGGAATAGACCGAAACTGAAGTTCACAATTGTTTTATTATATGACATTTTACAATGAGATTATTATTTTTTTATGTCATAAACACATGGATGGCATTAACTATTTTGGAATCACAGAGTGAAGGACTTCAAATACAAAATAACATACACAAAAAAAATGAATTTCAGATTCAATTAATGTGATATTTAATTTCAAATGAATAGTATTTGCACAATCGACATCATCAATACTCACAAAGTTCATAATTTGATGAGACAGTCCATTTGTAGTTGAATTCAGCAGTGTGATTGGTAACAGAGTTACAGACTGACTGGGCATATTTTTAGTAGCGGTCTGCAACACTTTTCTATTCATAGAACAAGGTCTGTAACAGATGATTTGATTGCAATTAGCTGTTAATCGATGGCTGGGAAATAACCCAGGTCTATTTTAGTAGAGGTCTGTTACACTTTCCTATTTATAGGTCGAGGTTTGTACCACTTTTCTATTCATTGAACGAGGTCTGTAACATATTTACAGACTCGTCATATGACGTCGATCCTCCAATCAGGGCTGGGAATTAGCACCAGTCATATAATAACATAAATCACCGACCTCCTCGTGAGTATGATCCAACCAACGAGGCTGTAGGGAAAACGAGTCTCATCTAATATTGCAACATATCGCGATACGGACCAATATTTAGATCAAATGTTATATATGTTATAAATCACCTTTAAGCTTTTCCTCAACATTAGGAATTCATACGTACAGATCCTAGGTTGTGGTGTTGCCTATCCACCCGAGAACTTACCGTGTACAGTTACTCAGGGTGTGTATCGAACGAGCTGTAAATACACCTGCCTTACCACAAAGATTCCATTCACAGGCGACAAGAGCTACCGTTATATGTGTGTGGGGAAAATCTCGATTTACGGTGGTGTCTATACCGGTGGTTACCTGCAGATATCGTTTTCTTATGTAGAAGATAACATATCCTTATCCATTAACCTCGGCGGTAGCACAGACAGGTGGGGATTTAACATCTGACTGACAGGTAAGACACTGTATACCTGTATTAAGTTTAATTATACCTTGTCAGAATCACTTATATGTAATACGGTCTGAAAGGGGAGTAGATTTAAAGCATGTCGGCTAATGTTGCCAATGTAACGAGCACGTGTGTAAAACAGTAGTAAGATTCGATTGTCGGTAACCAGGTAGCACTTACAGCATCTGCCTAGAATGTTAAGGATCCGAGTTCGAATCCCGGTCCAGCTGTTGCTATCCTTTTCCGTTACAAATGAACTGTGTACTCACAGAAGGATAGTTTTGACAATTGGGGCTTACCGACCTGCCTCAATCTGTGTGATCAGAATGGATGTTACTCGAACAAGGCAAAGCTATCAAACATCAGCATGTAAAAACTGAACACAGTGCAGTGATTGATTCCACATTTAGCTTAACAATATTATGTCACTCCGTTTAACAGTGCATACTGCCTGCTAGTATCAATATGTATGTTTACATTTTAAATCTACACTTATTAGTGATGTAAATATATAAAATCAATAGTGTTTCTTGTTTCAATTGTCTCCATCAACAGTGTAAACGATATTCCTCAAACAGCATAACTTAATCGACATGTTTGCTGACAACCTCCCGCTATTCAGGACGGAAAACATATTCTGAATACAGTAGAAGTTTCAAACGTCCGTATTCACGTATGACTTGCAACACTTCGATCCAATATCACAAAACAATGTATTTCCTGATATCCTTAATGTAGGAGACACAAGTGTATTTCTGTGTTTTGTGTGTATCCTTCGCTGCAGGTTGTGGCTGTGTATCTGAGTGCAAAATAATAGGGTAGATAATTAGTTAATTGGTATACTTTGTTGTATTACATCAGTTTTCTGCTTTTAAAATCGGTTTCATTTTTTTTTATCAAAGAACAAATTGCGTTGATTACAAACGGACAGTGCCATGGCGATGTCATAGTTTGTTAAACTAAGGCTATTAGGGATCTAGTGACATACTTTGATCTAACAAAACAGGCTTCGAGTGTTTAATTGTTCGTGGTTTCCACACGAAGTTAAGCTGAGGTGAATACACTTGTGTTTGAGCGGTGAAATGCATTTAAAAATATCTGCACATTTAAAACATTTTGCATTTGTTGTATACATACATCTAAATTATAAATTACAATTTTTTGAAAAGGATATAGTACAAAATGAGATGCTTGTCTTTACGCAAGAGACGGTCTGAACTACTGGGCCGTGATAACGTTAACGTGACTCCGTTTTATAAAATGACGCCTCGTATATCGGCACACTTTCTTGGTCCACCGCGTAATGTATGCATTACTATAAAACTAAATCGAATGGATTGTGATAAATTAAAATTTAGATACAACTTAATCAAATGGATTATTATACAGCAAAATTGAATGGGTTGTGATATTTAGCTATACATTAACTAGAATAGGATACATATAAATTGACTGAATTGGGATATAGCTAAATTAACTGATTGTGATACAGCTAAATTGACTGTAATGTGATTTAGATAAATTAACTGGATTGTATACAGCTAAATTGACTTAACTGTGATACAGCTAAATTGACTGAATTGTGGTATAGCTAAATTGACTTTACTGTGTGATACAGCCAAATTTACTGGAATGTGATATAGCCAAATTGACTGAATTGGGATATAGCTAAATTAACTGGATTGTGATACAGCTAGATTGACTGGAATGTGATTTAGATAAATTAACTGGATTGTATACAGCTAAATTGACCTAACTGTCATAAAGCTAAATTGACTGAATTGTGATACAGCTAAATTGACTTTACTGTGTGATACAGCCAAATTAACTGGATTGTGATACAGCCAAATTAACTGGATTGTGAAACAGCTAAATTGACTTGACTGTGATACAGCTTAATTGACTTGACTGTGATACAGCTTAATTGACTGAATTGTGATATAGTGAAATTAACTGGATTGTGATACAGCCAAATTGACTGAATTGTGATATAGCTAAATTGACTTAACTGTGATACAGCTTAATTGACTGAATTGTGAAATAGCTAAATTGACTTGACTGTGATACAGCTTAATTGACTGAATTGTGATATAATGAAATTAACTGGATTGTGATACAGCTAAACAGACTGAATCGTGATACAGCTGAATTGACTAAAATGTGATACAGCTGAATTGACTAAAATGTGATACAGCTGAAATGTCTTGATTGGGATACAGCTTAACAGACTGAAGTGTGAAATAGATAAATTAACTGAATTGTTATACAGTTAATATGGATTACGATACCATTGAAATACTAGGATAGTTTTAGATTTGGAGCAAATCCGATATCCAAAACACTGGCAGGATATATATATATACTGGAACAACAAGATAAGTGGCTTTACAGCGACAGCGTTTAGATTGCAAGAAAGCGTATGCTTAATTTTAAACTGAACTAGTCCGAATGTCATCGCATTGGAAATGCCGTTACTATAGATGATATCTCTCGAGTAAAAAGAATGACATTCGCAAACATTTGTCTAGCTCTTGTTCAAATAGAATTTGACAATCTATTTTTTACCTTTTAACCGCTGGACAACTGTAGGTCTATGCGGCGTCAAGGTAGAACACATTTACACAGGTATATTAAAATACCTGAACCGGGTAGCAAAAGTCTGTTCAGCTTAGTGAGAAGTACAAACTTGTCATCAAACATACTTTGATAAACACTATTGAAATCCCCTAATGAATGCACCTGTACATGGAATAGTGGTAATATTTAATAAAAAATGAACTCAAAAGTATATTCAATTTGACGTCTTTTCTTAAATATCACAATTTAAACTTGACGACGACGCCTTAAGCTGACTAGTCTTTGAATTATTTGCCAGTGGGTTAAATATTCCTCCTCTGAGAAAGGATTGTAAATCCTGTTATTTAAAAAAATAAATACGTGTTCTTTTCAACTGTCATGGTGTCAAACGTTAACGCCTTCTGATGGCCCTACAGATAATTTACCACTAGATAACAACTCTGACATGTTAGAGGATAACGTAAAGCCGTATATCAAGGCAAATAAGTGTAGACTGTACGAAGCTAACCGAGCTACTGTTCCTTAGTGTAAGGTCGGTGCAACTGTACATGTCCAAACCTACTTTATACCCTATAAGCCACCCTCGGGGAGTCCGACAATATTATTTTGGTCACTCAGAGGTCAGGGATGTTTGACTGCAAAATGTATATGAATTATGTGAATTATGATTAGTTTCAAGATTACTTTAAATGAATTTCAAACTGAATACAATTGTAGTTCGGAAGAGACGTGTAATACAATGTATGAGGCATATTATTATTATTCCATTTGACTTTTCAGTATTATTTACATGTATTGACATAAAATGCGATACACATAAGACTTTTTAAACGGAAATTTAAAGAAAAATATTTTAAACGATGTTATAGACTTATTTCAGTTGTCGGCTGTTTTATTACCGGTACACTGTAACATGCCAATACCTAAAGTATATACCGTACTACGGTGAATATGATACGGAACTCGACAGTTGGCACGATATTGATATAGATCAAAGTTCTAATCTAAAGTTCCACTATCGTTACATTTTTTTACTTTTCTCTTTTTAAGTGACAGTTTAGCCATACATTGAAATAAAGTCAACTTATATCTATTTAAAATCATTAATATAAAATGACATTTTTAACAAGATTTCTATCAAATATGGTTACATATAATGTCATATTAGTGGTGCTGCCCGGCGGTACCGACCCCGTTATATATAATTTGATACATTTCATAGCGATAAGAAAACACACACACATGGACAAGTATACGTCCTGTTACAATAGCCGGGCCTATATGGTATAAAAGATATACACAATATCATATAGAAAGATCGAAGTCTTACAGATATCCCATTACACGCGTCCAATTAATAACCGCCTATCTCATTACATATGAGATTGATTAGGCGATATCCCCGTGCAATACTGTAGTAGTTAATGTCTCAATTAGATTAAACATAATTTATCTCAAATTATAATGATATAAAATATCGGAATTTTCGGAAAATGTCAATATTTTGATAATGTTTATTCGATATGGATGGTTCAGCATCCTAGGAGTCCAATTTTTCGTTTATAGTTAGATCTCCTTGACAATACAAACTGTGCTGTACCGTCGTCATATTAAGATTTTAATCTTCAGATTTTGAGCTATAGAACTACAATAGTGTACAAATCCTTTTAATATAGACTAGAACCTGGTACGACATTTAAACACCCCTCCAACCCCCATCTACACTGTTCTAGTAGATACTATTGTCACCTATCATTTGTAGTAGTACAAATGTACTTTATATATATTTATTATTCACAGACGTATTTTTGTTTTATGCTTGCATATACGTGTGAGGATTGTCAATCCGTACTGTGTTGGTTAAACTCAAATACGTGTAGCATTTTCTTTCACACTTCCATCTCCCTTTTTGAGAGTGGGAAAAATGAAGCTAGTTTACCTATCTAGAAAGACAACATTACCAACGCGTCATCACTTTCTGCAGTGTTACCAGGGTTACGTCAGTTTTGTCACATATGTCTTGATGATAGCACAGTTCTTTCAGTTAACCATTATAACTATTTTGCTACGGTAGGAAAGGGGGGGGGGGTTAGGAGAGAAAACTTCCACATAAGGGGTTTTCAAATTTATTAAAACCTGATGCTTGACGAGAGTTTTGCGCTAACTTTCCTACATTCATAGGCATGGAAAAGCATTTAGCTCAGAAATCACAAAAACGCGTCCCTCAGGAGATATTTGAAATTAACCATTCGGCAAAGCCTCATGTTCAAAAATCTTACCCATCGAGCTGAAATTTCTTTTTCTCTTAATCTCACACGGGGTAAAGAAAAACAGCTTGCACGCGTCATGATGTCATAATAATGAATTGTCGACGTGACGTCATTGTATTGTTTCCGTGATGTCATACCCTTGTTGCGAATGGGGAATCC